AAGTGAGAAGGACATTGCTGAATAAGTTACATTTTCAGCATCACAGCTACAAGACTGAATTGCTCACTTCTCCCAGCCTTATCTTAGCTGGTGTGCAATCCTAATTAAAAGGCTGACGTAAGGAATACACACAGGGAAGAGTCTGGCACGGATGTTATGGATGAGATGATAAATTTTACGAGCACAGCTACCTCCCATGAAGCTTTTGTAGTTAACTGCTGGAGCTAAAAAGGTTGCTCTTGAGTGCACCATTTGTCCTTTCAGAGGGCTGAAAACGTTAAATAAAACAGAGTTCCCCTTTCTAATAGGGAGTAGTATCTTGCTGATCTAATTAATTTACATAGTTCATTCTTTCACTGAGATAACTTTACTGGCAAATCAGGCTCCAGTTCCCTTCTCCCAGTGCTCATTTTCAGAGTGAAAAAGACTGTGGGTAGGAAAAAACCCATGCATCCACCTTGTGAACAATGCTGTCATGTAGTTAACACAGCAGAAATATTTGTTTAATTAGTTACATTTTCAGCTTTTAAATGAGAAGAAAAAACAAGCCATGGGTGGTCTGTAACCTCAGAAGAGCAAATATCCCTGGCTGTAAAATCATCTGAGCTCAGAATACTGTGTTGGACATAAAAAAAGCATTTATTGAATCCTAGGCCTGAGTCGGGAACAGAAGGTGTATTAAGAACTTCCAAACTGCACCCTATCACCAATTCATTAAGTGTTCAGCATTATTTAATAAAAATGGCCTATGCATATACTTTAACTGAAACACTGTTTATTCATAAACATTTTTAACTACAGTATGTTGGGAATTATTCACACACCCCTTTAGAGACAGTTTTAAATTCTTCCTACAAGTAATTGCATTCAACTCCCACTGCTGTCTGCCTCAACTAGCTATAGGTCTGCAATAGCTATAGGTCTGCAAGCAGAGCTTGTCCTGTATTTTGCAATTAAACCAAGGATGTTAGTTGGTTTACAGAGAACAAGATTCCCTGCTGTTAATGTCTTGTTAATGTATTAACATTACAAAAGCAAGAAAACCACCACCATTTGTATAAAATCATTAAAGAGATTCTACTGCATGTCTGAAAGCCAAATTTGATTAAATTTTTGAAAACATTTCTCCTTTTTTGCTTATTTTACCAGAGAAGTCGATCTTCAGGTAGGCACAGAATAAAATGGTCAGGTTTTCTACAAAACTACAGGATGTTTCCTGAAAAAACATGAGACACTGTTGAATGCTGAAATGATGGCTGAGCAGATTTACTGCTTCAGCCCACAACTCTTTGGGTCACATTAACATGATAGTAACTGCTTTCACACTCAGTCTGGTGAACAAGCAAACTAGCAATATTTGCTAATGGACTTATAGCTGCTGCTATGGGACTTTGCAACAGGACATTGCAGCCAGGGAACATCACCATTGCCCCATGCTATGCCACCCAAATATTTCTAAGATGCTTTTTCAGAACCTCTCTGCCACTCTCATTTTTCAATGCTGTCTAGTTAAAAGGTGCTTAAGGAAGCTCTCCACTTCACGAGAGAGATTCCTGGAGAAATTGTCTTTTCCACACTTTCCTGCTCCCTCCTAAGGCACAGGTTCTTCCACCTTCCCCATTTCCAAAGCATAACACCCATGCAGAAACAAGAGAAACTTCTGAGCTGGGAAAGACATACTCAAAACACGTTTTTCTCTTTTCTGTGTGATTTCACAGCTGGAGATGAAGACAGCCAACACTCTTTGACCTGTTACTCCTCCAAGGGCCGTATGTGTTCTGCATCTGGCAGTGGGACAGCTGCTCCTTTAGGACTTTGCCCTTTCTGTCTCCCTTATCTTTCCTTCTGTCATCTGCTTATTTTCCATTTTTATGATATTCTTTTTTGGTAGATAATAATGCCTTTAGGATTAGTGCTGGCAACAAGCCAGGACAAAATGGCAGCATTAACGAATTTTGTTTGAGTTAGGGTCACCGTGAGATAATTTAGACCATGGGCCTGGGGCCCCATTTTCCCATGACATTGGAAAAATCCACACAGAAAAGCAGACATACTGAATGCTTCAAATCCAAACCTCCCTAAGTGTCTCCTCTTGGGACACAGCTTGCAGAAAAGAATGAGGACTATATTTCAACACCCATGGATATGACTTGAGATGGGCTGTACTATTGATTATCTTTCTACATAGTTTTTGCTTTCAGGAGCAGAAACCAGCAGAGTAAAATCCATCTCTGTCACTTCCCACCCACTCAGCTCAAGGACTTTTCCTTCCCAGTCTTCCCCTGGAGGACACAGCTTTGCCTAATGCATACCCAGGCCACTTTTTTCCCATGTTGCCAAAGAAAGCACACTTAATGGGTGCCCACTACCCAGAAATTTTTCAGAGGGGAAGGAATTGGCCTTTAGTCTGGCTTCTTTTTTTCCCATTAGTTTTCAGAATGGATTTTTTTCTTAATCCTGAAGGCTGCCCCAAAATGTTTCTCCTCTGAACAGGGCAGCAGGACAATCAGTTAAGAGAATATTATGCATCTCTTTCCCACTGTCCAAAGTAGGGAAATGTATAATTCATCATAAATGATGCAAAGCAAACCAGAAAGTTAAAGTTCACACAGTTAATGAGGAAGCACAGCTATGGGGTATTTTTTGCTACACTCAACCAGAAACTAACTCTCTTAGAGACATTTTATTTTACCATTGCTAGAAGGCTGTGAAAAAGCATGTAGGGGAGACTCTTCTGAGGTCTATTTTAGTTAAGCATCTATCTAATACCAGGATACCCCGCATTTGAGCCCAAACCTCCATCCCCCACAGCCACGACCTGTATCTCCCCTACAGAGATCTCCAGGTCCTAATGGGCTCCACCACGGAGGTGAGCCTGTGAGCCAAGGGCTGATGTTTCAGATGGCAGGAATCTCTGGTAGGAGTACACAGATCACAAGATGCTCTCTGTGTCCCAGCAACAACAGACTGGGAAGAAAGAAGAAAGCCAAGTGGGAAAGGACGAGGAAGAGGAGCAGTAGGAGAAGCAGCAGCAGCAGCAGGGGCCAGTGCAACTTGCATGGCCCTAGAAAAGGCTCAGGGTTTTGTGTGAAGGAGTGCTTGGAACAAGGTAAAGGACTCTGGATCACAGGTGGCAATGAGACACAGGGAGAAGCAGCCCCCAGAGCCAGACAGAAGAAGGTCGAGGATGAGCCAGCCCCCTTTGCTGCCCCAGGGCAGCCAGCAGCACTGACAGGGCACACAGCAGCCATGGGGTGAGGAATGACAACAGAGGACTTCTGGCAGTGGGTGTGCAGCTGTGAGGGAGTCTCCCCAGCAAACACATTAGCCTGCAAAATCTCCCCCATACTGGCACAGGGGAATGTGCTCTCCCTTAGATCCAATCCTAGTTGACCAGAACAGGGCTTGTATCCATGCAGCCCCAATGAACACTGCACAGGGTTTGCAGTGGGTCCCCACTCTAAAGAGAAAAGCGTCCTCTTGCCTGCCTCCAAACTGCCCACAGACAGCTGCCTGAACTCTCAGCAGTACCAGGCTTTTCTTATCTGGGGACATGTCACACTGCCCAGACTTAAAAAAATAATGTCACAATACTGCAGATGAATGGATCTTAAGTATTTGAAATCACATTTCTCACCAACCACAACCAAAGGCACAACGCAGGTTTTGAAAGGACATACTTTGGTAAGTGACACCTGCAAAAGGACACATAGAGAGAAAAGGGAGCAACAGCACAAATTAAAGTCCCATGGCCTTCTTCAGAACTCATTTAGCAAGTTCTTCAGAGAGTAGTACCTTGAAATTGTGAGGTGGGGTTTCTCCACCAACCCAAGATAAAACATGCCAACAAAAGACTATGACTAGATTTTGAAAGTATCACAGGAATAATATAAACCACTGTTGTGATTTAAATTTAACCTTTTAGGGAAAATATTTAAATGAAATCCATTCAAGTTCTAAGAAGCACAAATTTTTTAAAGTTATACAATAAACTGCAGGAAGGGTTATTCATTCTTTAACACAACGTTCAAGCACAAGCTGGTGAACTGAAGATGGACACAAGGCTTAAAAAGCAAAGGGATGGACACAATGCTTAAAGCAAAGGGATGAGATGGAAGACTAAGAGAAAGCTGGGAAATTAAAGGTTTGTGTTGCTTTCCTAAGTTTTAGGCCCTCATTTTCTACAGCTAAGGACTGATCAAACTCTCTTCAAGCTTCTTTTCTTCATATGCCTATCTGGAAAGTTGACACTGCACCATGGAGGTTGAATACTTGTATCAACATGCAGAAATCCCTGCCAGTACGTGCCATACTGTACATTCTTGCTTCCACAGATGACTTTTCTATGAAAATGCCTAATGAACTAGCTTAGCACTAGCTCAAAAGCATTTTCCTCCTACATTTTGAGAGGTTAAAAAAAGGCATAGTTTCCCATGTCCACCTCTGGAAGACAGTGGTGTTCCCCAAGGCTTAAAGCAACTTGCAAGGACTCTGTTGATATTTTAGACAGTTTCAAAATAAAAAACAGCAACTACTTAATCATGCTTTGTTGAGAAATAAGACCACTTTTCTCATTCACATCAAGAATGACTTAATCGCATGCAATACAGATAATGTAACTTTCTGAGATTGGATTCTAAAAAAAAAAAAAAAAATATTGGGAGAAAACAAAAAAGAAGATTGTATTTCTTTGCCCGTTAAGAAGACTTATGGGTGGTAGAGTGAGAGAGACCTGCCTTTGCCTAACCTTTCTGCTGATGAACTAGGAAATGAGCACAGGACCATTGGTCATGCATCCTGGTGCATAGATATAGTGCACCTAGACCAAGCCTATCCTTGTAATTTGCATTATCCACCAAAAAAAATTATATGTGCAACATCACTATTTTGCAACTGAGCCTAGGTGATTCTGTCCTCATAAGGTCTCACTGACACTTCTGCTTTAATTAGGAGCATGTGTTTGAAGATTCTGTGATCTGAAGACTGTCATCAGTACTTACATAGTCATCTTCATGAAGACCTTGCTTCTGAACAGAACTTTTCACCTCCAGGGAAAACTTCTCAAACTCAGGCTTCACAGTCCTCAGCAGAGTGACAGTTTGGAGGTATGAGTATGCTTTCTTGGCTTCAAGGTCATGTTTGTCTCCTCTTCTCCAAGAACCATTTCCTAAAGAGAGAAACAAGCTTATTTCCCAACAGGTACCATTATGGAATTCCTTTTTCCACACAGAACTCCCCTTTTCTGATCATTGTAAAGATAGTAAAGTACAAAGGAGAACAGACCCTTCTTCTTAAACGTGTGCAGGAAACCAGGCAGCGAGGAATAACTAAGAAGTAAATGTGCAAACCAGAGGACAATCCTACTCCCATACTGAGTTTGCTTATTTTAAAAGGGTGGAATAAATTCTAAGTGTGAGATGGCATCTTGGAGCCAAACACATATTCCAGATCTCAAATACAGAGATATTTAAGTTAGAAGAAATGAGGGAGGATTCAAGCACAAAGTTTTTGTTACACATCACTCCTCTTGGACAGTCAGAAAGGCAACAGTAAAGTCAAGAGCATGATGGTGCAGCCTGAATGAGAGGCAGATGGTGCAGCTTTCCCACCGTGGTCAAGTACAAAACCATGCATGCCACGGCTGCCAGAGCAGCCCTGCTTTTAATGGAAAAGGAATACATAGAAATACAATGGAATCCTGTGCCTACACTATATTTACACGTGTTTTGTGTCACAGCAATGAAGAATTTAACTCAGACCACCAGTAAAGAAGCCACATTTTTAAAAAGCAGGATAGCTGACTGGTTGTTTATTAGCAAAGAAGTCCTTCTGACAAACAGACCCTGGCCTTAGCAGGCCCCGAGATCCTGATCCAAAGTTTCAGGAGGTCAGTGGAAAGGTTCATGTTGTCCTGGAGCAGGCTTTGTGCTATTTGATGTAAATAATAACTAAAAAAGGCTAGAGGGAACAGTGGTAGCCCTAAGCAGTGAGCCATTAAATGCTTACAAGTAATTAAAAGTTAGACAGTCTTTATTTTTTGAACAACAGCAATAAACCCCATTATGGCTAAACGAGCCAAGACAAAACTAATGCTCAATTCCCAAGGTGACCTGGAGGGACACAGGAACCTGAAACCAGAAAGGATGTGGTTATTTAGCTTGGGGGTTATGGACCACAGTGTCATTTGGACCAGGAGAAGCAAGTTGTAGAGATGTTAAGGGAGATGGAGTACAGGTGAAAAGCCCATGGTGCTCCTTGCACAGGGCTTCCCAGCTGCACCACACAGCTGCAGGAACAAACTCTTGGACCTGGAGCAGGTAAACAGAGCTTGCTTTTTTGTCCTCCCAGCACTGCTGCTGGGACTTAACTGGATATTTGCTCTGCTTCCTCAGAGAGCACAAGGGAAGAAGTAAAGGCCCTGTACTTCTCTGGGGATAAGCCCTTTCTCCTGCAGCTTTTGGGTCCAGGGCAGCTCCTGTCAGTCCCCATACAGGGCAGGAGTAACAGCAGCACCCAAGCTTTTTCACCTCTCTTGTCCACCCCAGGAAAGCTTTATTTACCACAGCCCAGCACCACCTAGGACTGTAATCTTTAGACATACCATGAACTTTGCTATTTTTAAATGATTACATTTTTTTAGGAAGGAGCTGTAGATACAAATGCCTTGGCTGATGGATTTATTTCCCAATACAAAGTCAAAATCACACAGAACCCTATTCATCACACCCAGTGGAGTCACTGGATAGCAACTAACAACATCCCATAACCAGACATAATGTCTGGTTTTGCCACTCTTCCCTTCAGTGCCTGCACCTATCCTCTACAACTTTCAAAGAGAAAGAAATGCACATCTGGCAGTTGTAAGCAAGCACATCTTGCTACCTTCCCCAAAAGAGAGTACAGCCCTTGCAGAAGCCTCAAAGCTGAACAGCTTCTGCTCCAGCTGGGCACCTGCATTTTGGAGGTGCTGGATTCAAGGAGTACAGCAGAGACTACAGCACGGAGGACTTTGCCATAGCTTTGCACTTGCAAATGGAAATAGCTAAAAAGCATGAGATTATAGACATAAAAAAAGAAATTTAAAAAGGTAGTGCTAGTAGAATGTAACTTTTTGTCCTGGACACTATACATGTTCCTTCCTTCTTTAAATCCTGCCACTGGGACTGGGGAAGGCTCACTTGCATAACAGCGTTCCTAGAATAATTTACATATTTAAATTCCTTAATGGATTATTTTGTGGGAGGTCATCATGTTACAATACTTGTGTACACTTATTGCAATCGGGGTATTTAATAATCCTGTTCTTCTGAAAAATTAGAAATATTCGGATCAGAGGGCAACAACAATCTGCAATAAAGTCATCTGAACACAAAGACAGTGCCAATTGCTCAATCACACCCACTCTTAGGTTTTATGAAGTACAAAACCTAGTATCCACGCACTGGGAACAAGGATTTTGGGGGGAATTTCTCTACATTTCTCTTGTGTTTGCTTTTCACATGCAATGACCATCTGCACAAAAGTCAACTTCTGATGCACAGTCATTTCACTCTACATGGGAAACACATGCACAGGCAGAAAAATTGTTTTAAAACAAATGTCAGGAAACGCCACATTCTCACTGCACACATCAGAATTCAGACAGTTTTCATTAATCCCTCAGAAAAGCTACAAGAAGACTCGACTACCTGTAATGCCAAGGAGGGTAGTAACGAGGCTCCCACATTGGCTTTGATCTTGATCTACAACTTCATGCTTTAGATATTTCAGTGATTTTCTTATCTAGCAAAATTTTGCATCCGTTAGCTAATCTTGATATATGCAGCGGTATCTCTACTTCTGTACATATCTAGATCTCTGAATTTATACAGTTACATACCTTCATTACACAGTGTGTCACACAGCACTGTTTACTGTGAAATAATCTCAGGGGTAGTAGATGAGTAACAGAAAGTTTATGCAAAAGAACTTCCAATTAACAGATTAATTTTTAAAACTTATCCTTTTTTAAAGTCAGTTGTTTCTGTTGATTAGTCTTTGCAGCTTAAAGAAAGTAAACCCCCACACTTTGCCTTTTTTCCCAGCTTCCACTTCATTATTATCTTGAAACGAATTTGTTATTGTAGGGATTAGTTAAAGTAGTCTGCACAGAGGAAATTATTTTCTCTATATCTGCAAAAGAATCTGCTCTTTTTAAGAGCCATGTTATACTTCAACAAAACCTGCCCATCTTCAGCCATCTGATGTTTCATCTTAGCAAACACATTGCTCCAGTATTACTTTGAATTTGAGTGAGACAGCTGCACCAGCTGAGAGCAGGTATAGTCCCTGCCATGCACTGATGTAACATGCAATTACAATTCTATTTTGGGATACAGATATATTAGATATATTTCCAAAAGAAAATACATTTAATTTACATTTTGAAGTCATGTTTTAGTTTGACAAAAATGATCCCTTTTACTTATGGGTGTAAACGGCCACTTTTATTCACTCTGCTCTAGAAACTTTGGACTGCCTGTGTCCCATCCAGCGCTCTCCCTTTAGAACAGTATAGTTGAATAGTTTTGCAGACAGAGTCTGTAATAAAAAGATAAATAAATTAGAAGTGTAGATGTCCCAGCACAGAGAGGATTTCTGGAGACACAAACCTTGCAGCTACTGGCTGTTGCTAATTACTCCTTCCAGCCATCTGCTCAGCCCACAGGTCACCAGGCTGCCAGGAATGCCCCAGCCCCGAGAGCTGGCAGTCACAAGGCTGAGGATGGTGTAAGTCACCCAGACCTGAGCACACACACTGCAAAATGGGGTACCCACACCACTGCCAATGTCTCTGCCTGGGGCTACTTCCCCAAAAAGTAATTAAATAAGTAATCGCTGTAGCCTATTTGGCATCCTGTGACCCATCCAGCAGCAACTATAACCACAAAGTTTGTTTTATTTCCTGCAACACCATATCCCAAGTGGAAGATAACTGCAACAACAGGGAGAGACAGTGATGTTTTCTGGGACTCAGTGCTGCGTGTTTTGAGGCTAAGAGATCTAAAAATACTACCAAGCTTACAAAAGACTTTGCAACACACTTGGGCAAGAAAAACATTACCATATGATGAGCTGTTGAAGAGTTCAATATTGAAGAAAGCATAGTCCCCGTTGGTCATTCCTTGCCGATGAGCAGCCAACATGATGTTCCTGATAGTGTCACCGCTGGCACACATGATTACAACTGGAAGAAAATGAGAAACATAGATAAGAAGCAGCTCAAGAACTTCAGAGAACAGCCTGTGAAGCAAGAATGCTGCCAGAGACAGTGACCCCAGCTGTCCTCAGAGTTTTGCAACAAACATGGAAACACAGATTGCAAACAAAGCTGATTTCCCAAAGAGCTGACGAGACAGGTAGTAAACACAGAGAGGCTTCCTCTTTCCCTGTCTCCTCTGAAGATAAATAAATAGAACTTCTTTGTGATCTAGTTTTTTACCCCTGCAAAATGTGTAAGTTGTGGCTCCAAATTTCTTTAGCTGCATGTATTTGTAGACTAGACCACAATCACAAGCTTCTGCTGTTATTTCTAAGCAGACATAAGATGAAGATGGAGATATCATTACCTTACCATTTCAATTTCTATTCCATTGAATAGTTTGATGTAGACTGAACTTGCCTACAGCTCAGCTACCTAATATTTAGGTATCTGGCCTAGATTCTGCACTTAAGGGAGAACAGCACCTGTGCAGCAGGCACAGCAGTATGAGTTTTTCCAGAACGTGACTTCCTCTCCAGAGACCCTAGGCAACAACCTGTGATGGGGTGCTTAATGCTAATAAATGGAAAAAATAAGCACTATTTTGTAAGTATGAAGATTAAAGGTGGATACAAACATCACAGAGCCCCATTTATCATGGGCCAATAGCTAAGCAGAGGATCTGCTGCTACAATGAGACCTACAAGCCCACAGGCGTGACCCCCACTGTGATGACTGTGGTTGGTGGGTCTCTTCCCAAATCTGCTGGGCAGGGGGATTACTGCCCTTGCTATTCCTTCCTTCTGCAAAAGGAAAGGAGAATCCCAACAGGTGAGGTCGTCAACAATGGGGAAAGAAGTCTCACACAGAGCAAGTTATACTACAAGCTTTTATACAGGTTCACAAGACTACAGGTATGAAAATCCTGGCATCAGAGGGAGGAGCAAAATATTTTATCATTGTGTGCTTCAGGACTATATCCTACAGCAGAGACACAAGAGATCCTGCTAGGACGGTGATTCAAAACCAACTGCACGCACGTTTCCAAGAACGCCGTCACGCATGGCAGGACTCAAAAGCTACAATAATGTACGCAAATATTTCAACCCAACAATAAAAATGAATCAAAACCGCATTCAGCTCTTCTAGGTGGAAGTGTTTTCTATTATAAGAAATGAAAACGCCAAGCAGGCCAAATCTTTTCGCACACAATGAATCTTCTCCCATCGCCTTTCTGGTTGGATGCCATCACAGGCATAAACCTCCAGATGTGCCGCTGGGGTGAGTCATGTTCAGTACAACCCCACGCTTCAGGAGAATTGTACCATGCATAGCTCTGTCCTCCCGATTATGGCAGAGTAATATAATAATTTCCAGAGCAACAGAGCAAGACATATTTCATGACCATTGTGAAGTATATTAGCATGGAGGAAAACGAACAAGAAAAAACACTTTCTTACAATAAAATTTGGACTAAATATTTTCCAGATGCACATCAGGAATGAATTTGTCTCACTGTTCTTAATTTCAGTATAGGTGAGAGATTTCCTTTTGAAATGTTTCCTTGCTGCCCTCCCAATTCTTCCTTGACTTTGCCTTTGTAATTCACTTCTATCATGAAATTGTAATCTGTAGATGGAATCAAAGGGATTCCCACAACACCAATAAAAGACGTTGAGCAAAAGGAATAAAAGAAAGAGAGTGTGTGGGGAACTACTTGAACATACATTAAATCGTATTTTGTAAGCCTCTAAAGGAATGTAAGGGAAGTAATATTAACTGTTTGGAAGGGGTTTCTAACCCAGCAGGAAAACAGAGATCACATATTTCAAGATTCTGAAGCAAATAAGCTATGGATATGTTTCTCACAATCTTCCAAAAATGTAAATTATGTATTTAATCTGCATCTGTACCTTACCATTTTGTATGTACAAACATGTACATACAAACCCATACAAAATGTTCCCCCTTCACCATAATACACACAGATCACAATAATTCTAATACTTATATGCTGAATTTATTGACTAGGATTATTGACTCATCCTGAAAATACTTCAGAGTTTAATTCCAGTTTAAAGGAATAAGCATTCCCTTTGCTACACACATGCCTTGGACTACGTGCTTATACATTAAAGCATAGGCCTGCATTTCTGAACCTTACAGTCCTAAGCCTACAGCATGAACTCTGCAGGTTTACCTGAGCCTGTAAGGAAGCTTGAACTACTAATCAAACTAATTGTAGACAAGCATTTCTTTTACTACAATATTTTTCATCATTATTTTTTGCAGCTCCAAGACTTCAGTCATTTCATATGGCTCCTAGGACTGAACACAGTCCCTGGTACACAGGGATGTGTGCCTCCTCCTCCCAGGGATCTGAGAGCTCAGTGCAAACCCCCAGCCAGCAGCAACCTAAACCCTGGGGCCAGCCTGTCCTGCTTCCCATAGGACTGTTGGTGGGGCAGTTTCTGTCCCAGATCTGAGAGAATTTCAAGCAAGAATCCTGTATCTGCTTGAAAGCCCACTCCCAGTCAGGGAGTTCAGTAAAAGCTGACCACTCAGATGGGACCTCAAACAGCAGCAGTCTTTGATAACTAGAGAAGGTGAGGGCTTAAAGCCAAGGACACAGCAGGTGTGACACAGAAGTCATTAAAAACTGGAAACCAACCAAGCAAAAACATTTCTAGAAAGTGCTGTGGACAGTGTGCTGTTGCCCACAAGTCCTGCTGTCCCACTGGGGGGGATCTACAACGAGTCCCCAGAACAAATAAAGACCTTGACTGATCTTCAGACCTCATCTGGTGCACCCTCCACATGGTGTAGAACTCTTAAAATATTGTGGTAACCTAAAAGATGCCATGAGCAGCAGGGCTAAAGGAATCTGCCAGGTAAGTCCTGCAGTCAGTCTTTAAGGTCAGAAAGGCACAAGTGGAAACTGGGGAGCCCCACTTGAGTGGCAGGAGTGATGGAAGGAGAGACCCCACAGGGCACAATGGGGAGAAAGAAGAGGGCTGCTTCTGTTCAGTCACTTGCAAGCTGCAAGAATTGTGAAAGATCAAACGTCTCACCTCAGCAAAGCATTTCAGACCAGGCTTAAAGCAAGCTCTCTTCCCTGACTGTCAGCATAGTGTGAAGAGTGGGGCTGGCTGAACACTTGTCTTTTCCTGCTGTAAGCATGCTGTAACGCTTTCAGCATCAGGAAACCCACACACACACACTTGACAAGTATCTTTCCCCACACTGTGGTTTCCTCCAGCACTGACACATTTATTTCTCTTCATTCATTATATTTCCCCAAATGGTACTTAAAGAGAAAGCTCTCTTTTAAGCACCTGCTTCAGCGAATAGGAAATTAAAAAGCGTGGCACTGTTAGACCTCAGTTATCTCACTCACTCCAGCATTTTAATGATTTCACAGCAGAGTAACATCAGCAGTGCAAGGCTGCTCCATCCACAGCCTACGGCACCATAATACCAGTTCTGCCTGCCACACACAGCATGATCTTTATCTGTCCAATTCTGATGGTATTTTAACACTCTACAACAAGATATGTAAGAATTGCACAAAGGGCTTTGTACATCCATTGGAAAATACCTAAGGACTTTAACTTCACCCTGCAGTTCACTCCTGGAATGCATCTTTTCTTTTTCCTTCACAGGGAAAGCCTGTGGCTGGTAAAGCCCTCTAACAGAAAAAGTGTTTCTGATAAGCCCATATATCCACACATTGCTAGGCAAGACCTCTCTTTAAAGCACATCTAACTACAAAACTGCACGTTCCAAAGCACCTTGCTTTGCTGCTCCACGATGCAAAGTCAGTTCATCCAGCCCAGATATGACTGTCCCACATGTCTTACAAGCCGCTTATGTCCACGGTTTCTTGCTAACTGTTGGTGACAATATTACGACATGCACTCAGGTGTCTCGCACGCACACATTCCCTGAAATTGCTGTTTCCCCTAAATGCATCTATTATTTACGAGGTACTCGACAGGGCTCCCAAATGGAAGAAGTCGCGAAAAGGTCTCCCGCTGCAAGGCACAGCAGGGAGAGAGGAAAACATCTTTGCTTAGTCCCTGAACTTACAATGTTACTGCAAAAATCTCAGAGAATAAGCAACAGATTTGCTGCCCTGCAGGCGCGGATAATTTGGGGTAAACCAGACCGCCAGCAGAAAGCTGATTTCTTACTATGCCACAAAGCCCTCCTAGGGTGGTCCCCGAGGGCAAACGGCTCTCCATGCCGTCGGGAGGCAAAACTCTACCTCTGTGGGCAGAGCTTTCCCTCCGGACTGCAATTCGGAGGTGAAACTCCGTCGGGGGATGCCCGGGCCGGGAATGCTGCCGTCGCAGCACCGCAGTGGGCTTCCCCACGGCGGGGACGAGCCGTGACTCTCCCCCTGCCGCAGGTCCTTCCCTCCTCGGGATTCTCACTGCCCCAACCGGCCCCCGACGCCGTGAGAGCCCGCTCGGACACTCCGCCGCCACTCACCCCTCTCGCCCGTCTGCAGGGCGCGGACGACGTCGTCGATGTCGAGGTGCCTGCTGGTCTCGTCGAAGCTGTGCACGGCCATGTGGAAGGCCTCCTCCTGGAAGACCACATGGACGCCCTCCATGGCGAAGAAGCAGCTGCGCTCGGGGTTGCTATCGCTGTAGAGCAGCGTGGCCCGGTTCCACTGGTGGTGGCGGAAGAGGGCCAGCAGCATCTCTCCCATCTTGGCGTAGGCGGGCGCGACGCGGGTGAGGTGCGAGTACTCGCCGCCCTTGGCGCCGAAGCCGGCGGCCAGCGCGCCCGCCGACAGCATCGGCACGTCCCAGTGCGCGGCCAGCCGCGCCACCGGCGCCGCCGCGTACTCGCACACCGGCCCCAGCAGCAGGTCGGGGCGGCGGCGCTGCAGGGCCACCATGTCCACCAGGCTGAACAGGGCGCGGTTGCCGCACGCCGAGTCCTCGTAGATGAGCTGGAAGGCGTAGCCGGGCGGCAGACCCGCGCCGCTCTCCCGCAGGCTCCGCACCGCGTACTCGATGGCCGGCCGCACCCGCCCCAGCGAGAAGAGGTAGGCGTCGTCCTGCGGCAGCAGCACCAGCACCCGAATCAGCTTCTCCTCCTCCTCCTCCGCGCCCGTGGGGCCGCCGCCCAGCACCGCCCGCGCCGCCAGCACGCAGCAGAGGCTGCCGAGCAGCCAGGGCGGCATCGCGCCCGTCCCCCCGGAGACGCCCGAGCTCCGGCAAACTTTTCGACCCCCCTTCCCCGCCCGGCTCGAAATTGTTCGGTCGTGCTTTATTTCTCAGGTGTTTGGCGGATTCACAACCTGCCCCTCCCCACCCCGCCTGCGGGTCACGGACGGAGCATCGCGGCTCTGCTTTTCTCGATCTCTTATAGATGGACGGCTATTACTGTGATCACTTTCTCCCCCAGGCCGGATCCCCCCGCGGGGCTGCCGGGCTGCGCCCTCCCCGCTTAAGTAGCGCGGGAGCGGCGGCGGCGTCTCCGCACGCCCGGCGCGGCGCGGCCGGGTTTGTGCGCAGGGAGGAGCCGGCCCGGGCGCTCCCTCCCGCCCGCCCCCTCCCTGCGGCCCCCCCGCCCCGCACACCTCCGCGGCCGGGAGGGCGGGGGGTGCCCTTATCGCGTACGTCTAACACTGATGTGTGTGTTTCGCGTACCTTCCTGCTCGGCTGCTGCCCTCCCTTGCCGAGCGAGTCTCCGCAATCGGGCCCGGGGAGTAAAGAATTCCATTGCACTTATAAATTTTTCATAAGTATTTTTTGGGGGTTGCTCCAGCCCGCTTAAGCTGTCCCTTACTGCATAAGGAAGCCTTTGAGGCACCCCGAGGGCTCGGAGGTTCTGCGCTCGGCAGGGCTGTGGGATTTGGGGAAGGAGGGGTTGCAGCATCAGCACCAGGGGATGCAGGCGGCAGCCCGAAGGGCGCTGCGGCAGGGCACAAGCAGGGCTGCTCCCGTCTCCTCACTCGGAAAGGTGCCCATCCACAGCATAAGCCTACGGGGAAGTTGACAGTGGATCTGTGACCCCTGCCTGCGTCCCTTTGGGATCCTTCTGAGCCCCCCCGTGCCAAGAAGGTCTGGATGCCGGGTTTTGTCATTTCCCATTGTGTTCAGAGACATAGTTTCATGCCCCGAGCAACAGAGGTTAACCCCAGCGAAGGAGAGGTCTGAGATTATTTTACTGGGAAAAAAAGAACTTCTGGAATTACTGGGACAACACTGCCTAGTCCTAAGAGCATCCCTGTTCATTTCTACTCACTGGCCTAAAACTGCTGTTCTTCAGATTTTGTTAGCCTTTTCTGGAATAAAGTGATGTGAAATGTGCAAGATGTTTTGTGAAAGAGGCTTTGGAACACCTGGTGCTTTTTCACTGCAATATCCTAAAGGATGGCACTCTGCGGAGATTTGTGAGTCCTGTAGCAACACAAATCCTGAAAGCCAGAGCAGGGCTGCATGGTTTGATGTCTTACAGTTGCTAGAGAGTGCCAGGTTTGCGTTGAAAAGGTGAGGGAATTGCTTCAGGCTTTACAGAAGGGGTTTGTTTCGTTCAGCACAGAGGTCGTTGTCAGGGCAGTGTATGTAAACTTTTTTTGATGCTGCCTTCTCTGTGCAGGCTATGAATGGGAAACCTGCACTCCTGTGGTGACCATCTGCTCACCTTTAAGGTGCCTCAATTAAATAAAGAAAGCTCAAAGCGCTTGTGCAATTACAACCGAGAAGTGGAATGAAAACAGCAGATAACACGATGTACAGAAATAATCATCAACATTTATCTAACAAGGCTCGGTAAAATAAAGAAGCTCAGAAATTCAAAGATGGGTAGTGTCTCTGGGAAATGTACCTCTCGTAGTTTTATTTGATTACTGAATCAAACTTCAGAGTGTTCTTGAAGATTACATAAACATCCACCCTGGTGAAGCTGGTTTTGTGTCCTGTGCTGTAAGTTATGTCAGGCATTTTTTGTTGTAAATGACTCCGTATAACATAGAGGAGATTAGGCAGAATGTTACAATATACAACGCGCCAGCCATCTTTACCACAAAGCTTGCAAAAACATTTTCTTAAGACACATTTTGAAATGCTGACCTTTGTAGTCACTGCTTTATGGTCACCCTACAGATGTGTTTACAGCACCAAAATCTGGTCGGATCTCTCTTGATTTCCTTCTTCCCCCAGTAGAATATCTTTTTCATTTTACATGAAATGTAAACCTTCATACTCTCCTAGCTGTCTCATTTGAGTGTAAGCTGTGTAAACACAATAGAAGAGATAGTAAGCCCCTAAATCACAGGGCTGCTGCCCCTTCACACGGGCTGCTCCTTGTGAGGTAAAGTACTGCTGTGAATGAATAAGAAGCAGGAGAAGCAGGGCCAGCATGAGGCAAAACGAGAAACAAAAGGCATCTAGCCAGTACTGTGTAGCACTAGTAGTGTCAGAGTCCAATTTCAGTGCTTTCATAAAAACATTTGGCCCACAGCGTGTGGTTCTTGCTCACCTGAGTAACTGCATTCAGTGTTATGGGAGTCAGTGTCTCTGTGGGCCTAGAGTGCTATACACATTTCTGTTCCCCTTTGCCATAAGTTTTTTTATAAAGAAGAATCCCAGCCTATGATTGACTTATTTTTCAGAGCCAAGAAGTTATGCATGAGAATTTACTTGTTAATCCCAATTCAAAATGTCACTTAATACACCATCGTAGGTTCACTTATAGTATTTTTCCATAGCTATAAATTCAACATTTCTCCATAGGCATTATTTTTTTCAGCTATATAAATGCTTTTTAATAGGAACAAACCTACAGTGCAGATTTGTAGCAGGCAGAATGCCCACAGACTGCAGTGAGAACAGAGATTTCAGAATAGCCCATAAGGACTAAAGTAATTTCGGACACAGGCTATTTTCTCCCCAGAAATAACTCAAACACAAGTCAAGAATCACTTGACTCACTTCAGCCAGCATTAGCATTAGCCTGAGCTGCCTGATGCCAATTCAGAATGTTTTTCACTGATGGGTTTGCTGAAAACACAGTCCCACCTACAGGCTGAAAAGATGAAATGCTTTAACATCGCCTGTACTGCAAATATACCCTGCCACTCAGACTTGCAAACTCTTACCCCGTTTTTCAAGAAATCTATTCTCTTCTTATTTTAATAAATATTATTTTAATAATATTTTAATAAACTATATAAATATAAAATATTGTTTTATAATATAATATTACTTTTAATAATACTATATTTAATAATTATTTTAATAATATTTTAATAAATTTTAATAAATTCAAAGGAATCTATACTCTTTTGGAATGCCCGTAATGGATGTTCTGTGACCTTACCTACATATACTTCTGTTATGTAAAAATCAACATGGTTTTCAGGTGAAAATACTGCAGCATGAAAACCCAAGATGAGCCAATCTGATGCTAAAAAATAGATGGAAATGGAACTTTTTTTTTCTTTTCCTTTTAAGTGACACCAACTTCTGTGGAGATTAAGAACCCCAAGATCAACAAAGTGCACACAAAACATAGGTGTACATACAGATATACGCACACACCATGCATAATAACACTTTGCTACTGTTGCTATCTGAACAGCTTCCACTCCACAGCAGAAAGGAAAGATGTCATTTTTATTTTACAAATGACATGCTAGGATGAAAAAGACTGGTCTCCACTCTTTTCCATACATAATAAAGGTCAAACTTCTTGTCTTGAAAGTTTAAGGAGGAACAATATTTCTGCTGCCTGCAGACAACGTGCAACATGGGCAAAATGCAGCTTTATACACAGCAAATTCTAATTGAATTAGTCATTAGTGTTCTACAGAACACTTGTGGTACCACTTAAGCCTATGAAAGAACATAGTGATCAGAAGTTGACATCACAACCTTCCTGATAACTTTTATTTCTAAGAATAAAAATATTTTCGCAATTATTTTCAGTTTAAAAAGTATTCCTACATTTCGTATTTTGCAAGTATCTGTAATCAGGAAAGTAGTATTAAGGATGCAACTACTGCATTATTTTTAACAGTGTAACCTTATGCATTACCTTGAGTAATACTGTCTCTCTGCTAAACTCACTTTCCTCTTCTGATTGGACTATGTTAGAAAATATTCACTTTGTTTAAGTGAATTTCTGTATTTAGATACAATACCTGGATATAGGATAGATTTTGTTTGCTAACTAAACGAAATTAGAAGGATCTAACTAAACTAAATTGGCTCTGATCCATGTTTTTCCTGTGATTTTCGTTTTTGTTTTCATTTCCATGTTTTCGACAGGTCAGCACTGGATGGTGGCCACCTTGTTCCTCATGTGCATCTGCCTCCATCGAACAAATGTATCATAGTTTGCAATAAAGAGTGAGTGGTGAAATACAAACATCAGCTGTGCCTTACCAATATCATGGCCTTTCTGTCCATTGGATTTTAAAGGCTTTGGAGAGCAAAGATCATTTCTGCTTGAGATCTACTAACCCTACAACAGGTACCCATATTGCTCGTAAAAGAAAAGTTAGGAATATTATCATAGTGTCCCTCAAAAAGAGAGTTGGGATCAGACATCCCAGACCACTGACAATCAAGGAGCTGCATTACTGGAACTATTCCAAAGTCTATTTTCACATGTATTCCCATATAGGAGGAACAGAAGTCCCACAACATAAAGAAACCAGACAGCTATGCTTTGTCTGGATATTCAACTCTGCAGGATGTGTCAGTTTAGACAATAGTATCGTCCCAGGAACTGATTGATCTTTAGGAATATTCTGAGGCAAAATGTGGATTATTTTTTAAACCAAAACAGTTCATTGATATGGTTTGTGGTTGTGTTGGCACAGCAGAGAAAGAGATCTGAAACAAGAGCAGCAAGATTCCACAGATGACAGGCAGGAACTCCTTAGTGGAAATTAGTACTGAGAACTCTGTACATCTTTTCTCTTGCATGTTAGTTAATGATTAAATTACAGGGAATGCATGGGAAAAAAATAGCACTATTGACAGATCTTATTCCAATGAGCTGATACAAAAGTATTTTAAATATTTAATTAAATTTTTAAAAAAATGTGCTTCAGGAGTTCTGTAATTTCCAGTTTATTAAAGCACTAATGTGGATTAACAAAATGAATGTACGGACTTGGTGGAATACAAAGGTGTCATTTGTCATCACATCTCAAGAATGGGAACAAAT